GAAAAACAAGTACTCCACTCTCCCTACACCCGAGTCCCGAGTCCCGAATCCCTAATACCTCCTCTCGTTCACCTTACACCTTACCTCGTTCACCCCCCCCCCTTCCCTCTCCCTCGCCATCATCTGCCTATACAGCCCCACGCCGGAATCTTCCGATGCAGCAGGAGACACCGGGGTCGACGACGACGACGACGACGACGGGGATTTGGGTGATTTCGATGTAGACGCTGTTATGGAGGTAGACGGGGATTTCGATGTTGACGCTGCTATGGAGGTGGAGGTTGACGCTGCTGTAGAGGTGGATTTCGACATCGGGGTTGCTGTGGGGGTGTTGGAGGGGCCTCGGGATATTGGGCCTGTTCTGGATTTTGTGGTGGTGGTGGTGGTGGTGGTAGAGCTAAGGGCAGGAGCAGGGGTAGGGGTGTTGGTAGTAGGAGCAGGGACAGGGACAGTGGTAATAGAAGCAGACTGCGAACTCCTCCTGGAGCGGGCGCTGGTTTGGGAGGTGGATGGAGTGATTCGGGGAGTGTTGGTGGACTTTGCAGTGTCCGCAGCGGTGGTAGAAGTAACCGTGGCAGTTCTAGAGCGGGTTCCTGTACGTCGACTTGATGGTCTCTCCCTCTCCCTCTCCTTCTCAGAAACCAACCTGGACCCAAACTTGGCATTCGCACTGCTTTCCCGCGAATACGCACTCGGTGGGATCACGTGTCCGAGATGCCCCCCACTGCCTCGTTTGGAGGGAACGACGATCCGACCTTGCGGTGCTCCACCCGAGGAACGGTGCGGAGGTGTCCCAGTAGAGGAGGAAGGACTCACGACTCGGACTCTTCCGGGACCTGGACCTGGACCTCCCCGTGCACCACCCCGAATAACGACCTTCCCCCCTGGGCCTGCACCGGGAGGACGGTGGATGGTGACTTTATCAGCGCCCCAGTAGGAGAAACTCATCTTGCTCTTGCGGTCCGAGTCGGAGGAGTCGGGGTCGGAGTCGGAGTCGGGGGAGTGAGGGGGACGGAGACGGAGACTGGCGCCGCTGGGGTTTTCGTCGTCGGGGGGCATGGGGATGATGCGGGGGTGGTGGGAATGGGAGTTGGACTGCAACCTCGCTCTCTCAATATCCGCCATCGCCACCACCCCTTCTCGGGGCTGCACCACATCCCCTATCACCCACGTCTCCACCTTGATAAACCGATACAAATTCCTCGGTGTCACAGTTCTCAACTGTCTCTTTCCCTGGGCCCCTCCTCCTGGTGGATCCTTCCCTTTCCAATCCCAGCCTTTTTCCTTGGTTTGGCTCCTGGTATTATTACTAGTGCTGCTCCAGATGGGGACAGTGGTCAACCCGGTACGTTGGCAGAGCAATACGACGTCGTTGAAATGAACGACCCACAAGTCTTTTTTGCTGAATGCCTTGGGGGAGAGGGCGTCGGAGAGACGCCGGAAGGAGGATTTGGATTTTTTAATTTGGATTGGGATTGGGGAGAGCGAGGAAGAAGGAGGAGGAGGAGCAGTTGGTACGTACACGGTTTCGTGTAATAAAACCCTCCCAGGTTTCGGTCTACCCACCCATTCCTTCCCAGCACTCCCACCCCCGGTATTCCCCTCCCCCCATTCTATCCTCCCCAATACATCCCGCGTTTTTTCCCTATCCTCCCACTCCACCTTTTCATCCTCTATCCCCCGCACCATCACCTCGATCTCCGCGACCATCTGGAGCGTGCTCTCGTACTCGACCGTCGACGGGTCCGTGTGGTACAGCAGATTCTGGAAGAGGAGAGGGTATTTGAGGAGTCGCTGGAAGGGTTTGGAGAGCGAGATGGCGAGGGAGGTGTGTCCGAGGTTGGAGGCTAGGAGGTCGAGGGTGCGGAGGAGGACGGGGATGGTGTGAGAGGAACGCGGTTTGGAGAGGGGGGATTTAAGAGCGGTGTCGACTTGGTCCAGGGCGCGTTCGAGGTGGAGCACGTAGGTTGCGTAACCTGAGAATATATCCGAATTGGCAACAAAAACATCAGCTAAACTCCTAACCAACGGATACTGGTCGTCGTATCTCTTCCTCAACGCTTCCGCAAGACGTTTGTGGCCTTCAAACACCCCAGAATCGATGACCTCTAAACAAATCCTCAGATCCGGGGGTAGGAGGTGCGGTGGGACAAGTGGAAGTCGGGAAATCTGAGGCTCGACGACGAACGATTGTCGACCCAAGGACTGGGTGGACACACCGTTGAGGAGTTTGCTAGCTGGAGGCAGAGATTGGTGTGACCGTGCACCGGAGGGAAAAGGGATTATAGGCGGGGCGGCGGCGGCGGCGGCGACGACGACACCGCGGTAGGGTGACCGAGGGTGGGTTCTCCATGTATTGTCGACTACTCCTTCTTCGTCTTCGTCTTCGGATGAATCTCCACCCCCCACTGGAGACATGAACCGTGCAGCAATCGGAGGCAACGACGACTCCCCTTCCCCACCACCCCCCTGAACCTCAAAACTCCCCACTCCCCCCCTCCTCCCACTATACGGATGCAACAACGGGTCAATAAACATCTCCCGCATCTTCTCCAATTCCCCCACGTACCGCTCCTCGCTCTGGATGATCTCGAACAGCACCTCCTGCCGCGTGCGTTCGCGCGCGCCGAGGTTCAAAACGAGCTCGTCTTCGGTGACTTGGCTCCAGGAGGTCGCGGAGAGGACGTGTGTCGAGGCGGTGTGGGAAGTCATTTGAGAAAAAGGCGTTCCGGAACGGAGACTTTGTTCACTCGAGTTGGTTTGGGTAGGTCGAAATTGGTTGATCCCGATGTTTTCTGGGAGAGGCTCGAGGTCCTGCGAAGACACGAACGCGACTGCTTTTTTCGTGTCGGGGGGGAGAGGGGTGCTTCCTGTGGGTGTTCTTTCTCCTCCTTCGTCTTCTTCTCCTCCCAATACCGGCAACGGCTTGTACACCGCGTATTGCGACGTACTGCTCTCTCGCGATTCTGGTCTCACAGGTGCTGCTGCTACTGGTGGCCACGTCCTCAACGACGCAGGTAACCTCCCGATCTCTTTCTCGCGGCTGGCGTTGGGAGTGTTAGTCCTACTACTGTTGGTGTTGGCGGTGTTGTTGCTCCCGAGATGTAATCTCGAGAAAAAGGCTTTCATGGTTTTGTTGGGAAACTGGGAACAAAGGGCGAGGTAAACGAGGTCGAAGAGTGGATGAGTTGTTTGACGTTCCGTTATGAGATGTACTAGATTTGCATTATATTAGAGCAACGGTATCCGTTACCAACCAACGCACCTGTTTCGTGTTACCACAGACCAAAGCGAAGCAAAGCGAATCACGGATCTAGAGAGAGAAAAAACAATCACAACCAGTGAGTAGTATGGATGGAGTGATGATGCAAAGCACCAACACAATGCGGAAAAAAAAAACACACACACAATTCACAAGTGCAACACTGTAACCGTGCGTGACTGTCTGGACTATTAAATATAATCAAAAGTCAAATGCCTCGATGTAACTTCAACTCTTCAACTTATCTACGTAATGTATGTAGCACTTGTTGCGTTCAAAAAGTCTGGGTTGGGTTTAGACTAACTCTTTACTACTACATAAGATACGTATGTATCTCGGCCGTGGATGAAGGAACAGAGTCTCCGTCGCGTCAGTGCTCCTTATGATTCCTCAACATGATGGGGGTACGGCTCAGAGGTAACGGGGGTATAGCTCAGCTGGGAGAGCAGCAGACTGAAGTCATACAATTCATATCACGTTGTTCTGAAGGTCCCGCGTTCGATCCGCGGTACCCCCAAAATCTTGTTCCGGAAAGTGGGGTTTCTTTTGGGTGTTTGTTCAGTGTTTTTGAGTTTTGAGTTTTGAGTTGATCTCTTCCTTGCTTTGTTTGTTTGTTTGTTTGTTTTTCCAGAATTTTTTTTCCTGTCATGCCCTGGCCCAGTTCTCGAATGGCATACCTGGACCCATTTCTTGCCTCTCTGCTAGCTCCTCAAAACTGTTCTCTAGCTCCCCTACAACCTCCCTCATATCATGATGCGCCCTTTGATCCACCATCAGCGGTGTGTTCCCATCAATCTCTTTTCACATGTTTATTGTACTTTATCACACAATCATCCCACTAGCTCCATTTGTTTCCATATGCTTCCATACAACTCATCCTTATTCATCGATTAGTTCATTATGATTCGTTATTGACTGTCTGTCATGAAGTACGTAGCTCCTATCATTTTCCTTTTCTCACAGTTTCAACGCCTTTGCTTGTACGATTACATCACCACCAAATCCCATC